CTCCCCCCCCCCCCCTTTTAAATTGCAGCTCCAACATTAGAAGAGATACTTGCCTCTATCCTTCAGTGTAGGTAAGTGTAAAGTGATGCATCTGGGCAAAAATTACCCCAACTACACTTGCTCTGTGATGGGCTCTGCGTTAGCTGTTACCGCACAGGAAAGAGATCTGGGAGTCATTGTGGACAGTTCAGTAAAAACATCATCTCAGTGCTCACCAGCTGCCAAAAAGGCAAACAAAATGTTAGGGATTATTAAGGAGGGAATTGTGAACAAAATGGAAAGTGTCATTATGCCCCATTAAATCCAGGGCAGGTTTCCACCTTGAATATTATGCCCAGTGCTGATCCCCACCCCTCAAAAAGGGTAAAGAAGAACTAGAGAAGGGCAATAAGGATGATTAGTGGTATGGAGGGGCTTCTGTATGAGGAAAACCTTAAGAGGCTAGGCCTATTCAGCTTAGAAAAGAGATGTTTGGGGGGAGGGGACACACATGAAAAAGGGTTTACAAAACATTATATGGCAAAAAGAAAGTAAAGAGAAATTTAATTTTTACTCTCTCTCGCTCAAGAATTAGGAGTCACAAAATGAAACTGGTAGATAGTAAATTTAAAACAAACGCAAGGAAGTTGTTTTGCGCACAGCGTGCCACTGAAGTGTGAAACTCATTGCCACCAGACGTTGCGCAAGCTGACAGTTTAGCCAGGTTCAAAATGAGATTGGACAAATTCTTGGAGAAAAAAGGGGCAGAGCCGACCCTAGGGGGATGCAGGTCTAATTCTTGGAAGATTTGCCCTGAGTTTGGAGTTTGTCCCACTCCCATGGCTACAGCAAGGAAAATAAATCTGGAGGCGTCAGGTGTCCCCCCCCCCCCCCCCCCCCCCCCCGCCAAGGGATGGCTCTGAAAAGGGGTACCGGTAGCAATGGAGCATGGGAGTTAGGGGTGTAGCCTCTGAATCAGAACTGCCTTGACCTTAACTGCTGGAGGCTGCAAGTAAGAGACCTGGCCATACATCGTTCACTCTGCCCTGCAGCATCCGCTCTCTGCCCCTGACACAGGCCTAGTGGACACACAAAGTGGTGTCATGGTCCTTAGGCCCTTGGAGCAAGTTAGTCCCCCAGTTAACGGAGGAGGAACCAGGGCGAGCGCGGTGTGGTCGTCTTCAGTGCCCACTGATTACTCGGGCACCAAAAGAAGGAAGCGGGGATGGGAGCGAAGATCGTGGGTTCCCAAGCGTGCTGGGGGCGGGGCAAGGAGCAGGGCGCCCACGGCCCCTCAGACAAGTCCAAGGAGCCAGCAGACGCTGCCCAGTGAAACTGCGCGGAGACGTGATCGGACAAGGGACGGGAGATGTCCTCGCACTGCCCCCGGGGCCTCCCGGCCAGAGCCGCCTCCCCGCTCTCACAGAGCTCGAGCTGAGCCGGGGCGGGGGCCAGGAGGCCCGGGGCCTTGGCCAGACGGGCCGGGGCAGGCTTCACGGCGATGCTGTGAGGCAAACCACCGCTAGGGCAAGCGGGTGGCGCTGACATGGAGCCGCCTGGCAGCGATGGATGAAGGCCGGGGAGGGGGAAGAGGTCCTCAGCCCCCGCCTCTCCCCTCCGAGCCCA